CAAGGTCTCACTATACAGTTCAGGTTGGCTTTGAGCTCATTTTGTAGCTCAGGCTGGTCTTGAACTCATGACGATCCTCCTGCCTCAGCCTCCCAAGTGCTGGGATTACAGGCATGTGCCACCATGGCCAGCTTCTTGTTCTTATATCTTGACAACTTTTCTAGAAAGTAAATTTGTGAGTCAGGTATTTCTTTATTTATTTGTACTGGGATTGAACCCAGGAATGCTCAGCTACATCTCCAGCCACCACCACCCTTTTTGGTTTGAGACAGAGTAGTATGTAGTTCAAACTGGCCTTGAATTCGCTATGTAGGCCAGGCTGACCCTGAATTCATGGTGATGCTCAGCTCCCCAGTTCTTTTCAAAATTTTATTTTGGGATAAGTTTTTGCCCAGGCTGGCTTCAATCTTGCAATCCTCTCTCTTCAGCTGCTCAGCTACCTGGAATTATAGCATGTGCCACCATTTCTGGCACAGGCACATTTTTAAAATACTTCTATTCCTAGCAGGCAGCCAGGCGTGGTGGAGCATGCTTGTAATCCTAGCAATAAGGAGGGTGAGGCAGAAGGATCGCCATGAGTTCCAGGTTAACTTGGGCTACCTAGTGAGCTCAAGGCCAGCCTGAACTACATAATGACAATCTGGCTTAAAAAGCAGATAAGTAAAAAGAAACCTATTCCTACCAGTCCTGTGAAGTTGGGAAAATCATTGCCCTGTTGTCTTATGGATGAGGAAATGGAGGCCCAGAAAATGACTGGCAAAGGCCTCAAATGAGCCACACAGCTGGGGTTCTGGCCTCAGTAAATACTCACCTTGCCACACCGTCCAGGTTGTCGGCCTGAGCATCTCCTGGGTGCAGCTGGTACCAGTTTGGCCCTTTCCACACCACCTCTCCTGTCACCCATGGAGAGTGGAGTGGCTCAGAGGGAGAAGAAGGTTTCTGCACTAAAAGGGGCACCTACTCTTTGAGTCTCAGTTTTGTTACCCCAACTTTATTTTTAATTTTTAAAATTTTTATTTATTTATTTTTGGGTTTTTTTGAGACAAGGTCTCGCTATGCAGTTCAGGCTGGGCTTGAGCTCACTATGTAGCCCAGGCTGACCTCGAACTCACAACGATCCTCCTGCCTCAGCCTCCCAAGTACTGGGATTACGGGTGTGTACCACCAATCCTGGCCTGTATTTTTTTAAATTTTCTTTTGTTTGTTTGTTTGATTTTTTTGAGACAGGGCCTTGTTATGTAGTTCAAGCTGGCCTTGAACTCACTATGTAGCCCAGGCTGGCCTCAGACTTGTGGCAATCCTTTTGCCTTAGCCTCCTGAGTACTGGGATTACAGGTGTGTACCACCACACCCAGACCAGCTCCCCAGCTTTACAGATGAGGAAATATTTTTGTATATGTGCTGCAGAAGTGAGCACTTGATGAGGAAATAGAGGCTCTGAGGTCAAGTGTATTTTAGGGGGCTTCTTGGCCAAAGATTAGGAAGGTGCTTTCTCCTTGCCAGGACTCAAATTAGTCATTTAGTTTTTTTGTTTGTTTTTATCTTTTTGAGACAGGGTCTCACTATTCAATTCAGGCTGGCCTTGAGCTCACTTTGTAGCCCAGGCTGGTCTCAAACTCTCAGTGATCCTCCTGCCTCAGCTTCCTGAGTGCTGAGTCATTTGGTTTTTGAGTAAAGATATAACAACAAGGTGTTAGCACTTCTATTGGCAGGTACAGTGAGAGGAGTAGTTTGAGCTTGCCCTTTTCTTTCTTGAGACTTTATAGCATAAGCACATCTTTCCAGCATGGTCTCCCAGCCCTTAAAGCCCTGGAACTTTGGGTCTGAACCAAATGGGAGACTCCACCCTGCCCCAGAGGGCCAGGCTCACAGAGGCGACCGTGTAGCAGGGATATATGTGTTCCTGTCATTCTGAGATAGTGACTGATATCTACTGGGACTCTAAAATGTGGGCTTCCTTTCATTCCTAACAGAAGTAACATAGAGTATCCAGTAAGAAGCTGGGTATCTGTGGCTTGCACCTGACGTCGCAGCTACTTGGGAGGCTGAGACAAGAGAATGGCTCAGTGACATAGTGAGAGTGTGTCTCAAAAATGAAACAACACAAAACTAACACTAAAACAAGACAAACCCAACTTGTATTTTATATTTATTGTGTTTCTAGATTTGAGACAGGGTCTCCCTATTTAGTTCAGGCTGGGTTTGAAGTCACTATGTAGCTCAAGTGGGCCTCAAACTTGCAGCAATCCTCTTGCCTCAGTTTCTTAAGTGTTGGAATCACAGGAATATGTCACAAATTGCCCAGCAATTTGTATTTTTAAAATGTATACAGCAAGAAAAATGCACATTCCGGGCATGGTGGTGCACACCTGTAATCCCAAGACTTGGGAGGCTGAGGCAAGAGGATCATTGCAAATTCAAGGTCAGCCTGGGTTACACAGTGAGTTTAAGGCCTGCTTAGACTGCATACTGAGAGTGTCTCAAAATCTCAAGCAACAACAACAACAAAAACAAAACAAAAAAGAAAGAAAAATACATGTGGCATCGTGGGAAAGTATTAATAGCAACTTGTGACACCTACCCACCCCCACCATGACACGTGTAACTCCTGTGAATACACTCAAGTGGGGAAGACCCTTTTTGTAGGAATTTGTCTTCCTGGCAATGGGTTCTCACAGCCCCATCTTTTTCTTCATGGGAGAAGGTTCCTACTCAGCACCTGGCCACAGGGCCCAATATAAATAATCTCAGGTCTCGCCGACTGCCCCCTCTGCCCATGGGGGACACCACACCACAGCCTGTGGCCTGTCTCTTATGCTTTACTAAAGGACATCTGCTCCTGTATAGGGTGTGGCAAAAAAAGCCGTTTGATCTCTTTATTTTTTAAAAAATATTTTATTTATAGATCTCTTTGTTAAAGTAGTCACTCAGCTAGTTGCAGTCCTGTTTCTTTCCCTTTCTTTCTCCTTCTCCTTCTTCTAAGACAAGGTCTTGCTATATAGTTCAGGCTGGACTTGAATTCACTCTACATCCCAGGTTGGCCTGAAATTCTCAGCGCTCTTCCTGCCTCAGCCTCTCAAGTGCTGGGATTGCAAGTGTGCAGCACTGTGCCCAGTTTAGCAGTCACAAGTCTGAAAAGTGCACAAACTGGATTTCTGTAAATGGAAACTGTGCCTTCCCAGTCGAGCCCAGGCCCTCCCAGGATGTGGTATTTGCAACACATTTCTTTGGTTACTCTGTCCTATTTCCTGAGCTCCCTGCTTATTAGAAGCACAGAGAACACTGGCAAGCTTGTGTGGTCCATGCTAGAGCACAGCAAAGAAAACAGCAGAGAGCCGAGAAAGAGGCCTTCTCCGAGTCACACAGCCAGCAACCACAGTTTCCGCCTCAGAGCTGCAGCGGGAGGGGGAGCAGGGCCCAAGTGCAGGGAGGGGCAGGTGTGCAAGCCGCGCCTGTGTCCTTCTCTGGGGGTGGCTGCGCGGCCTAGACTGGGCCTTGGGGCTCAGCTCCCACTTCCAGGTCACACAACCTTGGACAGATCCCTCAGCATTCCTGAGCTCCCAGTAAAATGGGTCAAATTATTTCAACCGTGGCAGACCTTTAAAAGAATCCAAGGCAGGGGTGGGAATGAAATGGCTTCGTAAAGGTCAGAGCGGGGGCTTTCAAAAACTCCATAGTGAGGACAAGCTTAATCTGGACGTGGGGTGGCTTGTGTCCACGTCAGCTGCCCAGAGGCCCATCTCGCCCACAGGCGCCAGGAGCGACAGCGCTTTGCTGAGTACCAGGCGGAGTTGCAGGGCATCCAGCACCGGGTGCAGGCCCGGCCCTTCCTGTTTCAGCAGGCCATGCAGGTGAGGCTGCGGTGCTCCCCGAGAATGGAGATGGAATCCCTGAGACCCTCACAGAAATTATAGCCCACGGTGGCCTCAGTGGAGAGCAGGAAGCCCCTCATCTCTCTCCTCAGGCCAATGCCAGGCTGACCGTGACCCGGCGCTTCTCCCAGGTGCTGTCGGCACTGGGAGTGGATGAAGAGCAGCTTCTGGCTGAAGCAGGAAAAGGGGATGCAGAGGGCACTGCCAGGAAGCCCAGGTGAGGTTGGCTGACTGGCTAAGGACTGGCTGTGCCGAACTGCCACGGAAAGGGGCACAAACACCAGCCTCTGGGCTCTGCCGTTTCCTCTCTCACCAGGAAGGTGGGGTGGGGTTATTGTCCTTGATTCCCAACAAGGAAACTGAAGACCTGAGGACAGGGCTTTCCTTACAGAGTAAATAAGCAGTTGAGCAGGCTAGGGGTCTGTTGCCATCTGAGTGGCTGCGCACCAAGCCATTAGCGCCATGCTAGTCACCTCACGTACACTGCCCCTTAAGACTGCGGAATCACCAGGTACAGAGCAGGAATAACAAAGCCTACTTTGCAAGTAGGAAAATGAAGTTCAAGGAAGGGAAGTCACTTTCCCAGGGCCACACAGCAAGCCAGCGTAGGAGCTGGGTTTGAACCCACAGAGACCGGGATTTCCTCAGTCATCAGGTGGGGAGCCGTGGAGCCCACTCGCCTCCATCTGTGTCTTTAAGGGGCCACAGATCAATGGGGGTGAGAATGGAACCCTCTTCTCAGAGCCCTCCAAGGACTGAACCCATCAGCAGCCAGCCGGACAGGCGCTCCTCTCCCAGCCTGGACCCAGAGAATAGTCAAGATAAAAATTAAAGGTGCTGTGGTAAATACCGCGTGAGGTTTCTGAGATGTGGAGGAAAGGCTGTGGGTTGGGAACAGAAGGAGTCAAGTGAGCAGCAGCGGCTTAGCTCTATCCCCACCCGCAAGAGCTCCAGCTTTCTGGCTGCCCCTCACCTAGCACACACAGCTTGGTCTCTGCTCCTGAGGAGTAGTGCATTTCTTTTTTGTTTGTTTTGTTGAGACGGGGCCTCTTGTGTAGCCCAGCCTGGTCTGGAATTTGAGGTGATTCTCCTGCCTCTGAATGGTGGGATTACCACCACTCCCAGCAAGTGGGTCATTTTTTTTTTTTCTTTTTGAGACACAGGGTCTTGCTATATCATTCACGTTGGCCTCAAACTCACTGTGTAGCCCAGACTGGCCTCAAACTCAGGCAATCCTCCTGCCTCAGCCTCCAGAGTGCTGGGATTACAGGTGTAGGCCACCACGCCTGGCCGAGTGGGGCATTTTGAAAAGTGACAACTGAGATTTCTCTGTCCTGTCTCCAACATATATGCTGGAATCTAGAAACTCAAGAGTGAACATGACAGACTGGTCTCTGCCTTTGAGGACTCCCAGTCCCGTAGGGGAGGGGGACTTAAAGGGGTGCACACAACACGTCCTAACATGTTGGGTCTCACAGGGAGCCCACAGATGGAGCAGCTGCTGGGTGGAGATATCAGATTTTGAACAGGGTTTGTTAATTTTAAGTTAAAGCCCTTCTGTGCGTGAGGGAGTGTGTGTGTGTGGGTGGGTGTGTATGTGTGTGTGAAAGAGAAAAAGAGCGAGAGCAAGAGCGAGAGTGAGAGCGAGAGAGAGAGGGCACGCGACACAGACAGGGAGACAGAGGGACAGAGAGAGACTGTAACCCTATGTATCCCAGGGAAGAGAGGAAAGAAAAGCGCACATACACGGGTGTGTGGAACTTTGCACTCAATTTCAAGGGTTCGCGGACACACGGCTCATATGGACCTCCTTAGTAGTTCACAGGTTACATAAACCCAACTCGGAATGTGGATGGGCAGCGTGCCCTGACAGTATGGGAGCAGTTTCGAGCCTGGACTGTGCAGCGCTGGGGGAGGTGGGGGGAGTCTCGAGGTAGAGGAAAACACGCCACCTCACTCGACACCCGCGAGAGCCACGACCCCGGGAGGCCCACTGGAAGGGCACCCTTCGGCAAGGAAGAGCCATCCCCGAAAGAACAGGGGGCACTGAGCACCCTACGGTGTGTCGGGGAGGTGTTCTCCGTTTCTGGGCTGCTGATTTAGAAGTGCTTTAGGTCCTAAGACCTTTGGAATTCACGACTCGCATCTACGCCCACACGCGAAAAGTCAAACTTGGTACGGCACCGCCACCCGGCGCTTGCGCAGTCGGGCTCCAATCCTGACTTCCCATGAGCTCTTGGGGCAGGTTCTAACCACGGAAGCAACCGCTCTTGGCTTCCGGCAACAGGCTCACGGCTGCCGTGTGACCCGGAAGTGTTTCCATTTTGCGTCGTCGGGGCTCCGCAGCGGCCCGGCTCCAAGGCAGACGTACCACAATGGGGTCGTCAAAGAAGCACCGCGGAGAAAAAGAGGCAGCCGGAACTACTGCTGCGGCCAGCACCGGGAGCTCCGCTGAGCAGGTTCCACGGCATCGGGAGCACAAAAAACACAAGCATCGGAGTGGCGGCGGCGGCGGCAGCGGCGGTGAACGACGGAAGCGGAGCCGGGAGCGTGGGAGTGAGCGCGGGAGTGGGCGGCGCGGGGCAGAAGCCGAAGCCCGTAGCGGCGCGCACGGGCGGGAGCGCAGCCAGGCTGAGCCCTCGGAGCGGCGAGTGAAGCGGGAAAAACGCGATGATGGCTACGAGGCCGGTAGGGGCCGGGTCTGTTCAGGGGTGGCGCGGGGCGGGGGTCCGGGGGTCGGGGTGCTGGCAGGTCGGCGGGGCTCTCCAGGCTCAGGCTCCTGCGCTTAAATGGTCTTGCCTTGATTGTTTGGGGTTAAAGGTTGACAACAGTTGTCTGGCGTCATGCGAGCCAGGCCCTCAGTAAATGTTGGGTGAATGAGCGAAGAAGTGTCACCGTGTGCGGAGGCGAGAGGGCACCTGGCATGGTGGTGCAGAGCAGTAATTCCAGCCCTCCGGGAGACCGAGGCAGGAAGATCGCAAATTTGATCAGCCTGGGCAGTTTAGTAATTTAGCGAGAACGTGGCTCAAAAAAAAAAAAAAGAAAAAAGGGCCTGAAGGTGTAGGTGTATGAAGGCTCTATGTTCCATCCCCAGTACCAAAAAAGTAAAACGAATAAAGAGAAAACCTGGTATTGGGCAAGTCGTGTACTATCTCTTACTTGAGGTAGTAGTAAGATAGGCTGGGGTCTGAACTCAAAGGACCCTGTACTGTATTGTAGACCTTGTTAAATTTGGAGATTGTTTCAGGGTGGTAGGAAGTTAATGGATTTGCGTTGGGGAGTGAGTTGATCAGATTAATGTTTTGTAGAAAAGTCACGGTATAGTTTCTGGGCGTGGTGGCGCACGCCTGTAATCCCAGCATTTGTGAGGCTGAGGCAGGAAGATTCCTGTGAGTTCTAGGTCAGCCTGGGCTACAAAGTGAGCTCAAAGCCAGTCTGAACTGCATATCGAGACCCTGTCTCAAAAGGGGGGAAAAAAATCGCTACATGTAAATATTTGATCAAAGGTAGGACTAGAGGCCCCGAAGTCAGGTGGGCTGTAAAGCAACCAGGTGAGGGTTGATGGCCTGCACCAAGGCAGCAGCAGTCGTTGGAGAGAAGTGAGCAGCCTGAAGATGTATTTTGGAGGAGGACTGAACAATAAATTTAGTGTTTGGATTAGAACGGGAGGAAGAAAAAAGAGTCTGACACCTTATATTTTGGAGTGAGCAGTTAGATGAATGGTGGTGACATCTGTTGAAATTGAGGACTTTCGAAGAGAAGATTTGAAGCAGGAGAAAGATAACGGATTCAGTTTTGGAGAGTATTGAGGTGGTTGTGCGTGGAGAAGTTCGAGATTGGTGTTGGATAAGGGGATTTTTGGATTTGTGAATGTTTAGGTGGCTAATGAAGCCTTCTGAGAGTGTGGAGTGAGAAACCAGGGTAAGAGATACAACCTGAGAGGCTGGGGATTTAGCTCAGTGACACAGCGCCTGCCTGGCAAGTGCAAGGTCGTGAGTTCGATTCCCGGTACTGGAAAAAAAAAAAGAGATATACAACCTGAGAGATGCCAGTAGTTTAGTAGTGGCAGAGGAAGATACTACAAAACAGGAGGTAGAATAGGCAAAAAGGAAAAACAGAGGCTCACTGGTCATGGGGTCTGTGGGTTGAGAGCATTGCTAGGAGGAGGGCGTGATCAACAGTGTCACCACGAGAGATCAAGCAGACCAGAACTGAAAAGAATCCATTGGATTTGGTACTAAAGAGGCAGGTGACCTTGTAGAGGGCCTAGGTGGAAAGAGGGACCTTGGGATTAAAGAGAAGTAGGTTGGGGATACAGGAAAGGATGTGTTCATGGGTAGACGGTAATGGAGGGAACCGCATCTGATGGTATCAAACCTCCTCTGTGGTGGTCAGTGAAGTCGCTATGTGAGAGGTGGCTGGAGCAGGTCCAAAATGCTTATTTGTCTGTGTCTCCAACATCCAGCACAGTACAGTTTCTTTACTTCACATTACATAGAAAACACAGTTGCTACTGATACAGTCCCTGTCCTGTGGGGAGGAAGAGACCTGAGATGACAACTGCTGGGTGTTCAGGGCAGATAGTTCTGATCGGTAATTGAACAGGACTTCCTGAAGGTCCTGATAGGATTTTTCCAATCAGAAGAGGACCAGAGAGGACATCTGAGGTTGAAAATACACCATGTACAAAGTGGGTGGAACCAGCATAGTGGCACACACCTGTAATCCCAACACTCAGGAGGCTGAGGCAGGAGGATCCCTGTGAGTTTGAGGTCAGCCTAGGCTACAAAGTGAGTTCAAGGCCAGCCTGAACTGCATAGTGAGACCCTGTCTCAAAAAGACAAAAGTAGATGGAGAGGGCAAAATGAGGAGTGCAGAAAGTTGAATCTCAAGGGTCAGGAAAGAGTAGGACAGATAAAGAGGGCTCAGGTAGAGGCAGTGTTGGGGAGCCTACTAGGAAAGAAGCTGCAGCTTTCTGATGTTAGCAGACCCAGGTGCTGATGCTCATCTTTGACTCTATGGTTGGAGCCAAAAGTCCTGGGTTTGGGATACGGTAGTACGCCCCTGAGCTGTGTTTTTTTTTGCAGCTGCGAGCTCCAAAGCTGGCTCAGGAGATGCCTCGTCACTCAGCATTGAGGAGTCCAAGTGAGTACCATCTCCCTGTGCTTTGGCTTTTTTCCCCTGCAACAGGCATTTTGTGGGGCAGCACCTGGGGAGGCTTTCTTCCGTTACAGAGTGCCAGTTGGACTGGTAAGGTCCGTATAAGTCATTGTAGCTGCTTATGAGTCACGGGAGGAAGCAGAGGGCCAAGCAGGAGGGCACTGGTTAGGGGCAAACCATCCCGAGCACCCATGGTCCTTGGTCTGGGGGCTGGCACCCTCCTGGTGTCCTAGGCTGCCCAGGTCAGGCCTGTACTTAGGACCCTTCAGACCACTTGTTCCCAGTATTTTCGCTTCCTGTCCGGCAATGCTCTCGGTGCCCTATTTCTTTTGTAGTTCCTGACATTTGTGTGTCTCTTGTCCTCAGTAAACTCCGGGCAAAGTTGGGGATGAAACCCTTAGAAGTCAGTGCTGTCAAGAAAGGTGAGTGTGGGACTCGGGGTCTCGGGAAGGCATGTGGGGTGGGGCAGAGAGGCCATCTGAAGGGGTCTTTGAAGAAAGTAGGGAGAATGCACAGAGACAGCTCGAGTTAGTGATCCTGTGTGTACATTTGCCTGCCTGCGGGCACAGTGGGGATCTAGGATGCACTTGTCCTGGCTGGGCCTGGCATCCTCCTGACGGGGAGGTGCAAGTATATGGGCGGAGAGGTGCGCGGTTGCTGCATACTGCCTGGGCTGTGCAGGACTTGGT